GCGAATATATTCGGCTCGAAGCAAATTTATTCGGCGAATTCGGCGAATCAGCCGAACCGAATTTTTGAATAATTCGCCTCATCTCTAATTACTAGATGTCTCACCTTTATGTTGCAGAGGATGTGGGGAAAAGTGCACGATGGTGGGAATGCCCGAAGATACAAGATTACTGGGAGGGAATATTACAATATATTCAGGAGATTTGTGGAATTATTGTACAGAGAGATCCGGAGACTTGTCTATTTTATAAATTTCGAACTTGGGGTAAAAATACAAAAAAACAGGGTATTATACCATCTAGTTAGTGTGGCTAAGCGCTTGATTTCCAGATATTGGCTTGCCCCAGATCCACCAAGTATGAAGGACTGGGTGAATAGCATAGAAACTATCTATAGGATGGAGGAGGTGTGTCATATTGAGGAGGATAAAATTTTAAAAAATTAGGAAATTGTGGAATTGGCTGGTCTTTAAAACATCTAAAAGATACCTAGAATTGGTTGGAATATAGGTGGACGAGCACTGGGGGGAGCTTTAATGGAGTTCCTGACAGATAAAAGGAGACAGGGGGAAAGGAATACAGATATGGAGAGATAATCAGGGGAAAGGTTAGGAATTAGGATAGTGACATGGATTAGGGACTGGAGGGGGTGTGGGGAAGGGAAGGGGGGGTTGGAGATAAGATGATTTGATGCAATTGGGAAGTATGAGTGAAGTTTTCTTCTTGTTTTTTAGTTGTGTGTGTATTTTATGCTCTTTTTGTATCAAACAAATTAATAAAAGATATAAAAAAAAAAGGTAGTGTAAAGTAACGAATGTGGGTTTGACAAAATGATGCTAACAGTGTGATTGGCTTAGTATAACAACAATGATAATTTTGCTTGGACTAAAACTGCATCACAAATCAAAACAAGCAGATAGCACAATATGCAGGGTACAACATAACATAGACATGTATAAAAGACAGTGCACCGTTAATGATAGCAGATGACCCCTAAAACATTTTAAGCATCATTATATGGATAACAAGCAGGTAAATTATAAAGTCCCTTCAGACGAAAACATGGTGTAAATCAGCTAGAAGTGTGTAAAAAGTCCATTCTAAAAAAGTCTGGATAAGCTGGTCAGTAGATGATGGTGCTCAAAGAATGATACAGAAAGGAAGAAAGCCCTTCACCAAACTGATCACACTGCCTCTTACCACAGCACATTGACCACCTTGAAAAGGAATGGTCAAACAACGCTGTACAAAGCCAAAAGGGACTTCAAGGATGGACTCTCCACCAGCTTCTCTCTCAAACAACACTTTCTTTGGCTTGAAGATCGATACTTCCATATGGACAGGGTTATTCTCAAAGGATGTCAAGTAATGCACTTACATAAAAAGATAATAAAACTTGCTTATCACAAATCTCCATGTAGTGTTTCCAACCAACAAGATGGCTGCTGCTTCCTGATGTGCGGTGACGTCACATGCCGTAACTCCACCTTGGATGCTTAAAATGTTTTAGGGGGTCCTCTACTATCATTAGCACAGCACTGTCTTTTATAAGTGGGAGGGGCTCAAAACTTGAACTGACTCACTCTGCACACGGTAGCATATGGCGTAGATTACATTGCGTTCGAGGTCACGTGACATGCAAGGAGAGTGGTGAGACACATAGTGATCGGTATGTGTTGCAAAGGGAGCAAAGACATGAGTCATCTGCCGGTGGGAGCACTTGTTCACAAGCTGCCGATTCCATATCCCAGAAGGGATCTATATGCTGGAATGTTTTTCTTCTGGGTATGATGTCAGGAAATTAAAAGAGAACAAGAGGACAGCCCTAATTTAACAGAAGTCAATTCTCCACTATCCTTAAAGAGACAAGTGCTCTATGACCAAAAATTTAGTATAATAGGTAGGGAAATTTATTAGGTCAATATTTTAAGGTGACAGGCTGGTGGTGGTTCTATCAAAAGGCAGTGAAGGTGCATGAAGACAGATGCATTCACTGAGGAACTGGTGTGGTGAACCAGGAACAGTCAATAAGGCAGCCACTAAGGACTATTTATTTATGTATTTATTGTTCCGTGGAATATTTTTGATTATCTTTGGCATGTGTGGATGCTTTTATGCATAAGACTTGTGTACTTAATTAGTACAGTGCTGGATCCTTTAGTTTATATATAGACCTAATGCGATGTGGACACAAGTGATTCTGCAACAGCACAACAACATAGCTTAGACTGTGTTGGATTTGCAGTTGAATTGCAGATTGAAGTGATTGTGTAGGAGTAATTTACCTTTCATTTTTCTAATATGCATGTCTGTTGCTCTACCTTGCAGTCGTGTAATCATTACACAAGTGCAAGGTAGATCAACAGACATATCCATGCTGTGCTAGGTGTGTGTCATTCAGTGTAGATCTCCTCCATGCAATCATGCTGTAACTGACTCCCCAGGCCTCTGTGCCACTCCTGTATTCTGTGCACTTCACTTTGCTGCTGAAGGTGGAGAGTGGATACTTCTGTCTCCCAACAGTCCAAATGCAAGCTTCAGAGACAGTGTGAACACAACCACCCACACCAGCACCAGGATTCACATTTGCACCCCCTACACCCCACTTCTAATACTGTTTACCTCTTAATTCCTTGCCCCCCAATGCCAGTCCTGCTCACTTTTGCATCCCTTGCAAACCCTCTTCCAACACAACTCAATCCAGCAACTCGCTTACAACACTGTTCACATGTGCAACCCTTTTTCAACACTCCTAACCTGCTTATCCCCTGCCACTGCCATCCTTTTCCAACACTGCTCAACTATGCACCCTCTGCAACCCTCTTCCATCATTGCTCACATCTGCATACCGTAACATCTTCTGACACTGCTAGTCTCTGCACTCCTTGCCACCCTTTTCCAGTACTGCTCAAATTTGCATTTCCTGCAACCTCCTTCCATCATGCTCCCTTTAGCATTCCCTGTAACCCTGTTCCAACAATGTTTACCTCTGCATTCCATGACAGACTCTTTTAAAACTATTCACCACACAACTCTCTACTAATACTAATCACCCTTCCAACCTTTTCAGACTGTAATCCTCTTCCCCTATGGCTTACAGTTTACCTAAAGTATTAGTGACTTAGGGCTGGACAGCTTCTCCAGCCAGAGGAAGTGCTGTGGATGGAGTCAAATGACATTGGCTTTCAAATGGTATCAATTACTTTTGCTAAATTCAAATGCAAAATGTCAAAAGCAATTCCATCCTACAGATCTGAAGTTACTCCATCAAAAACTGACCAAATTAACTTAACACAACATGCCTTGTGCTAATTCTTTGTTTTTTGGTAATTTCCTTTCATATATTTTTTGCATACTATCCCTTAATATGCATTAACATTTTGTGCACACAACAGAACTCAATGTTCTTGTCTATTGTTTCCTGCATTTATTTTATTTTGTTATTGTTTATTTTTATGTTGTTTTGTTTTTAACCTTCATTTATTAAGTAATTAACCAGACATACTCCTGTTTTGCAGTCTGGAATGTTCTTGACAATCTACTAAACATAATGATTGTAAAGTACTATTGTTTAACAACCACTAGCCTACAGGACACTTATACCCCCTTCATGCCCAGGCCAATTTCCAGCTTTCAGCGCTGTCACACTTTGAATGACAATTGCGCGGTCATGCAACACTGTACCCATATTAAGTTTTTATCATTTTTTTTTTGTGACAGATAGAGCTTTATTTTGGTGGTATTTAATCACCTCTGTTTTTTTTTTTTATTTCTTCTTACACAATCCAAAAACCACTGCAAATTTTGAAAAAAAAATGTTTTTTCTTAGTTTTTAGTATAAAATTTTGCAAATAAGTGATTTTTCTCATTCACTGATGTGCGCTAATGAGGCTGTAGTGATGGGCACTGATAGGCTGCACTGATGGACACTGATAGGTGGCACTGATGGGCATTGACAGGCATCACTGATGGGCACTGAAAGGCAGCACTCATATATGGCACTGATAGGCGGCACTGACTAGCACTGTTAGGTGGCACTGACAGGCAGCACTGACGAGCACTGATAGGTGGCACTGATGATGTGCCCTGATAGGTGGCACTGACTGGCACTGATTGGCAGCACTGATAGGTGGCACTGACTGGCATTGATAGGTGGCACTGACTGGCACTGATTTGTGACACTGAAAGGCAGCTCAGATGGGCACTGAAATGTGGCATTGATATGTGGCACTGATGGGCACTGGCAGGTGGCATGGATGAGCACTGACAGCTGGCACTGATGGACAATGACAGGTAACACTACTGGGGCTACACTGATCATTAGGGCATCATCAGTGTACATGTCCCCTCCGAGGAATGCCGATTACCGGCTCTCCTCTCCTCTTGAGCTGTCAGCGTGACAGCTCATGAGGAGAGAAATGCCGATAACTGGCATTTCCCTGTTTACATGTGATCAGCTGCAATTGGACACAGCTGATCACATGACTGAGCCGACATCTTCGGCTCTTTCCGTGGATCGGTGATCCGCTGTGTCCGAGGGACACAGCGCACCACTGATTGCCACGCTCCCGGAGCCGCGCATGCGCGGTTAGAGTGGGAGGATGTCATATGACGTCCTCCCAGAACTAGAGAACCGCTTTGCGCCCGTCATTGTACTATATGGCGGGCGGGAGGCGGTTAAACATCTGTTTAGATAAACACATATAAAATAACAAAGAATAAAGACCCAGTGAGTCAAAACACAAAAATCTAAAATTCCGTATCTACAACATATGCTTTAATGACTGTGCATGTAAGTTGCCAAACATACTTTGCACTTGTTTTTATTTTTTACATGGATTGTAAAATAAAATAGCACTTTATGATGTCATGCTTTTCCTAACACAACCACATGTATCATTAAAGAACTTAAGCCCCATACACACGATGAGAACATCAGACAAATGATTGTCCGTTTTTGTTTCCTGTTTTGCATGCTAGTCTCATATCGAAAGTGAAAAGGTTACTAAAATTACAAAAATGCTTATTCGACAGAATAAAAATTAAAAAGTAATGTAATGTATTTTTCGACAAACTGTGCTGATTAAATGAAAATCATACAACCTGGTATCTTACTAGAAAAAATTTTTCGGACGAAAGCTGTGTGCTAACAATCAGAATATGGTATGATCGTAACTTACGATTTTCTGACCATGTGTACTAGGCTTTACTCACAAAAACTTACTAATGTTGCCCTTATCAGGACTTTCAGTCAGTATCATTAAATCTACAGCTCTCCTTATTAACATACCTTCTGCCCAGTGTGAAGCTCTCCAAGGATCCTTTCCATTTCAGTGGTCTTATTATAAAATTGCATATCCTGGGATTTATCTCACCCCTAATATATCCAATGTATTTACAGTGAATTTTCCTCCATGTGTGTCCCAGATCAGGAATTTTCTTAAGGTTTGGCATTCATTCCGGATTTCCTTTCTGGGTAGAATCATGTCCATCAAGTTGAGCATTTAGCCCAAATTGTTATATTTCTTTAGAGCCCTTCCACTTATTATTTCAAAATCATTCATAGACCGCCTTCAAGGAGATGTCAACAGATTTATTTGGCAAGATTAACGCTGCAGATTTTCCAAACATATTCTTTAGAAATTCTGGTCTGCAGGCATCCTGGGGCTACCCAATTTTTGGTTGTACTTTCTAGTGGCCCACTTCTTCAAAATTGTTCAATGGAACATTATCAATACAAAAGTCCCATGGGCTAGATTTGAGGTCCATTCTATACACTCTTATTATCTCCCTGTTGTTTTATGGTCGTTTTCAATCTTTAGCCATAGTCTATCTCCCTTTAACACCTTAGTTGCTTGATCATTAGGCTTTTGATCTTGCTATTTTGGATCTTCACCATTCTGCTATAGGTATATACTATGTCAAACTGCTTCCTTACATGAACAAGTGAGCTGCTCAATTTTCTTCTGAGGATTAGGATGTTATGCTTGATAATTTTCACAAAAGCATAACATCTCTTGCTGTTAGAGAAACAGCTTTTAATTTACTCACCAAGTGGTATTATACCCTTTCTAGGCTTCATATTATATATCTTGAAGTTTGGGGATTATGCTTCTGTAGATGTCCACTTTAGGGATCTTTTAAACATATATTCTAGGAATGTGTGCAACTTTCCTCAGTCTGGTGCAAGATTGGGCACTCATTTGAATCTAACAATGCCAATGTGCCCCCTAGGAAATTCAATACTGGGAGTACTGCATAAAGAGGAAATTGACCCTATTTGTGTATCTACAACATGGGCTATTGCTCTGCACTGGAAATCTACAGTAATCCCTTGTCTTCATATCTGGACAGAATAGATAATATTATGTTAATGGAAAAACATCCCATATCTCTATGTGCTTCTAACTTGTTATTTTTGTATGAATTTGTATACATGTCTTTAATGTACTTCTCCTATGTATATTGATGTGATATTTTGTACTCAATTTTTCTTCACTTTTTAATAAATAGTTTGTAAACAAAAGAATAACACTTTATTTACAGGTGTGCTCAAAAGTTTGCATACCCTGGCAGAAATCATGAAATGTTGGCATTTATATTGAAAATATGACTAATAAGACAGTTTTTTGGCCTGATCAAAGGATAGTGATCATATAAAGCCATTTATTATCACATAGTTGTTTGGCTCCTTTTTAAATCATAATGATAGCAGAAAGCACACAAATAGTCCTGATCAAACGTTACATACCCTAGAATTTTTGGCTTTGATACAGACTCACAAGGTGACACACATGCATTAAAATGGGAGTTAAAGATTAATTTACCACATCTGTGGCTTTTTAAATTGCCATATTTTTTGCTCCAAAAGACGCACCTGACCAAAGACGCACCTAGGGTTTTAGAGGAGAAAAACAAGAAAAAAATATTCTGAACCAATGGACTGCAGACACAGTACAGGAGATGACCAGAGACTGTGGACACAGTACGGGAGATGACCAGTGACTGCAGACATACTACAGGAGATGACCAGAGACTGCGGACATAGTACAGGAGATGACCAGAGACTGCGAACGTACTACAGGAGATGACCAGAGACTGCGAACGTACTACAGGAGATGACCAGAGACTGTGGACACAGTACAGGAGATGACCAGAGACTGCGGTCATAGCACAGGAGATGACCAGAGACTGCGGTCATAGTACAGGAGATGACCTGAGACTGCGGACACAGTACAGGAGATGACCAGAGACTGTGGACACAGTACAGGAGATGACCAGAGACTGCAGACAGTATAGGGGATGACCAGAGACTACGGACAGCATAGGAGATGACCAAGAGCCTGTGGACAGTATAAGGGATAACCAGAGACTGCGGACAGTATAGGGGATGACCAGAGACTGCAAACAGTATAGGGGATGACCAGAGACTGCGGACAGTATAGGGGATGACCAGAGACTGCGGACAGTACAGGGGATGACCAGAGGACTGCGGACAGTACAGTAGAGATGACCAGGGACTGCGGGACACGTGCGGACAGTATAGGGGATGACCAGATACTGCAGACAGTTATAGGGGATGACCAGAGACTACGGACAGTATAGGAGATGACAAAGAGACTGCGGACAGTATAGGGGGCTATGACCAAGAAACTGCGGACAGTATAGGGGATGACCAGATACTGCAGACAGTTTAGGGGATGACCAGATACTGCAGACAGTGCAGGGGATGACCAGAGACTGCAGACAGTGCAGGGGATGACCAGAGACTGCAGACAGTGCAGGGGATGACCAGAGACTGCGGACAGTGCAGGGGGATGACCAGAGACTGTGGACAGTGCAGGGGATGACCAGAGACTGCAGACAGTACAGGGGATGACCAGAGACTGCAGACAGTACAGGCGATGACCAGAAACTGCAGACAGTCCTGGGGATGACCAGCGACTGCAGACAGTACAGGGATGACCAAGAGACTGGGGAGGGAGGGGAGCGGGTACCTAAAAATTTGACAGGTACCTGCTCCCACTTCCGCGGAGTTGTCCAGTGAGGTGTGTCAATGCGTTGTCAGGTATATTGTAATGCAGGCTTTTTGTTACATTGGCGCAGTAAAGGCTTCTTTCTGGCAACTCGACCATGCAGCTCATTTTTATACAAGTATCGTCATATTGTGCTCCTTAAAAGAAAAGTTTATGGTAAGTGGTGAGTTCTCCTTATCAATGGTAAGTGCCTTCAGTTGTTGGTGTTCAATGACGAGTGTCCCATGTCCCCAAATTACTGAGGGCAAGTGGTGTGTAAAATGCTGTTGGTCAGTGGTAAAAATCCAATAAAACTTTGCTGGTCAGTAGTGATGGCTATCTAAAATATTACTCATCAGTAGTGAGAGCTCCCATTTGTTGTTGTTTGGCTAGGGAAACCTCAAAAAATATAGATTCATTACTGTTTAATAGTTACTTGCCTAACAGTGAATCTCCATGTGTCCACACTGTTGGTGCTGTCACCCAAATCTGCAAATGCATGTTAGTATCAGGACTAGACAGGGACCATTAGGCGGAATATCACTATAAGAATGTAAGCATTCCATTTCTACTTAGGGCTTGTACTTTTATATATATGACAATAAACTTTTGAGCTTGAACTTACTGTGGAAATACATTACAGCTGAGCACCACAAACCAAAAACTCATTAAATTAGTTTTTAATATTCACCTATCCATCCATGCCTCCATGCTTTAATTTGCTGAGAAATCACGTTGAAAAACACTCCTGTGATAGTTTTACTGACAATTACATGATCATGCATCACTGTATCCAATGTATTCACTTTCTATTACAAATCATATCAACACAAAATTGTGGGAGAGTAGGAAATCCCTCCAAAAGGAGCCATTTTTGGTACTTTTTTTTTTTTACAAATTAACAAACATACAGCTTATAACACCCAGTTGCAACATCAGGAATGGGCCTCCGTTTTCCCTATAATTGCAGCTTCAAAAGTGAGGTTTCCTTGCCACTATCTTCTGCTTAAAAATTCCTTCAGTTCCAGTAAAAAACACCACCATTCACCATATGTACTGACCTCAGAATACCAAAGCATTCAAATGTGCATATTCAGTAAAGAGCCTCATGTATAAGGATTACCATCATCACCAGGTAATTTAAGTGCAAACTCATTAAACTGTGAGAACTTACTTTGCATTTACAGAGGTCAGTATGTACTTGTAACCCTCCAGAGGGTGGTGTGTCCCCAAGAAATTTTCTCTGTAAAAGGATGTTTCTCCTCAAAATGTAAGCCTTCATTGGTAAAACACATTGGGGCTTATTACTAAAGCTGGTTCACTCAGAATCTGGTGCAGCTGTGCATGGTAGACAATCAGCTTCTAACCTCAACTTATTCAATTAAGCTGTAGCAATAAAACCTGGAAGCTGATTAGTTTTGATGCAGAAGTTCACAAGATTCTGAGTTACCAGCTTTAGTAAATAAACCCCATTATGAGGGGCAATTCTTGGGCTGGATGTTCCTGTATTACTGACAACTGAAAAAAGAGCTTTGGATAAAACAGATTCTGGTGTGTGTTGCTTTCATTGATCAATATGCTTAGATAACAAGTGGAGATGAACTTTAAGAGCACACTCCCTGGGAGTTCACAGGGAGCTAGCGAGGCACAGGTCTTGAGCATTGCTACAAGTCTGAGAGGTTTAATCTAAATCTCCTTCTCTTATATATACCTGTAAAATAAGGTAGATGGGGACAAATCTTGCTATATATATAAATTTCCTCCTGCCATTTTGCCATAAAGAGATTGGCTATGTTGAGGGCATAGTTTGCCCCCATTGCAACACCCTTGTTTTGTAAACAAAATGTATTATTGAACCATTAATTATGTGTCATGGCAAAATCCAGCAGTTCTTTTGGAGAATAAAAGTGAATATAGATGTCACAGTCTGATAAGTTTTCATTTGAATCTTCTGCTGATGATAGTAAGCCTTACAAATGAAGCACTTTACTGAATTTGTGCATTTGACCTCCTTGGTATTCTGTGGTCAATGACTCTGGTGAGTGGTGATGATTTTTATTAGAACTCTATTAATAGCATTGCTCATGGGAATTTAAAGAGACTGCACTTTTCACAACAGCAAATCAAAAGATATTTTTTTCTAAAAAGAAGTTCATTTTTATTGTACAAAATGTTTTATTGTACAGAAAACATATTGAAATGTCAAGAGCATATCAATACATGAAGATTGGGTTACCAAATAATCTATACACAACACAAGCTAGCCAAAAATGATAAAATGATATCCTGACACTCAACTTGTTTTCGTGAAGCAGTGTTCACTTTCTCAGGAGACAGTGATGTTCCATAGGATATCAAGCCAAATACAGTCTGTGTACATCAAAATCACATATCCTTTTGTAGTAAAAAAGGTTGGGATACAATGGGAGAGGCGACATACGACGTGCTCAATCTGGGAGCTATAGAGAGGGCAGGAAACCACCACAGAAGGGCCACACCAGAAAGAAGGTGGGCCAGGTTGAATAACACTAAATAATTAGCTGGAAAAAGACAAATATTTCAAAAGTCTGGTCCCCAGAGATCCACAGTGTTCATAAAAAGGAATAAAAAAATTAGTGATTTTTCTTAGAACTGAATGAGTTTTTTAAGTAGAAGATAGTGGCAAAGATATGTCACCTTGCAATTACAAAGAAAACAGAGCACGTGCTTGTATGCATGCCTGACAGCATCGGGGCATGCATACAATGAGGCGACGGATTGTGTCCTGGGGTATTTCCTCCCCAGATCTGGACCAGGGCATCACTGACCTCCTGGACAGTCTGATGTGCAACCTTGCAGCTTCGGATGGACCAAAAACATGATATCCCAGAGGTGTTCTATTGGATTTAGGTCAGGAGAGTGTGGGGCCATTCAGTGGTACCAATTACTTCAGGCTATAGGAACTGTCTGCACACTCTTGCCACATTAAGTCAGGCAACAGGACCCACTGCACCAGTGTAGGGTCTGGCAATGGATCCAAGGATTTCATCCTGATACCTAATGGCAGTCAGGGTGCCATTGTCTAGCCTGTAATGGTCTGTGCTTCCCTCCATGGATATGCCTCCCCAGACCATCACTGACCCACCACCAAAATGGTCATGCTGAACGATGTTACAGGCAGCATAACATCCTCCATGGATTCTCCAGACCCTTTCACATCTGTCATATGTGCTCAAGGTGAACCTGCTCTAGGGAAAAAAATGTCAGTGGCCTCCACCTGTTAATCCATTCCTGTTGTGTGGGTCATCTCATTGTTGCCCATCAAGTACACCTTTTGTTAATTTCATTACCACCAAAGCAGCTGAAACTGATTAACAACCCCATCTGCTACTTAACTGACCAGTTCAATATATAAAATCCCAGGAGTTTAATTGACTTGACGCTATACTCTGATTAAAAAGTGTTCCTTTAATTTTTTTGAGCAGTGTATATCAGAGTCCTTGTTGCTAGATGTCTTTATGTACAAGATTGTGGATACAAGTGCAGACATTTTAATTTTATGTTACATACTCTTTTGATTTAAATTTGATCTGCTGCTTGTATAATTTGATATGGATGTGTGGAATACTAGAGATAAGCATTCCATTAATGTGGATGATGTGTGTACAAACAATGAGACACATGGTAATCTACAGGGAATGTTTATACATTTAAAAAATGTTATGTGATCTGAGATAAGATTATAGTGGGATATTACTTTGATGCTACCCTCTTTATATGAGAGGAAGGATTAGATTATTTAATGGTGTTCATGGACATACTTAATGACAATCATAGGAATATCAAACTACCTTTCAAGTAAACAAGCTAATCTCTCAAATTTGACCCTGTTTGTAAAGATGGAATCATAGGTATTAGATCCTTTTTCAAGAATACAGATATGATTTTTTTTTTCCAGTAAAAAGTTATCATCACCCAACATGGGTAAAACATGTCCCAATAGGACAATTCATTAGAATCAAAAGAAAAGGTGATGACATTAAAGCACACATGGGTATCTATACTGAAAAATAGATTTCTTGAAAAAAAGATACAAAGAGAAGGAATTGGAGAGGGGAATTAATAAAATAAGACAGATGGATAAAAATATCTTATTACAGAAATGAAGACTGACAGTACAGACTCAAAGATTAACTGCTCTATAATTACTAATTGTCTTATGCAATGTCATGAAGGAAATGGACTTTAAAGAGGCATTGGCTAATTTCAGGGTTGACAACCAACCACAACAACATGGGAAATTTACTGACAGAACACCTTTTTTTTTTACTGATAACTAGAGATGAGCGAATTATTCAAAAATTCGATTCGGCCGATTCGCCGAATTTGCGGGAGAAATTCGATTCGATGCGAATTTATTCGCTGCGAATTTAACTTATTAAAAGGGTTTCTAGGCTTCAGAGAGCCTTTATATTAGTGCAGAACACTGTACCTTTAATTTAAATGCCCTTGGAGTCTGCTGGGGAAGAGAAATAATACTGACAGTCAGTATGACATGCAGATGAGTGCCATCGATCTTAGAATCACCGCACACTTCACTCATTTGGGCAGTCACGGGGCACGACGAAGAAGAAGAAGAAGAAAACTAAGAAGAAGAATGAAAGAAGAAGAATGAAAAGAAGAATGAAAATGAAAAGAAGAAGAAGAAGAATGAAAAGAAGAAGAAGAAGAAGAATGAAAAGAAGAATAAAAAGAAGAAGAAGAAGAATGAAAAGAAGAATGAAAAGAAGAAGAAAGAAGAATGAAAAGAAAAGAAGAAGAAGAAGAAGAATGAAAAGAAGAGGAAGAAGAATGAAAAGAAGAAAAGAAGAATGAAAAGAAGAAAAGAGAACTCAAGAAGAGAAGAAAAGAAGAAGAAGAATGAAAAGAAGAAGAAAAGAGAATGAAAAGAAGAAGAAGAAGAATGAAAAGAAGAATGAAAAGAAGAATGAAAAGAAGAAGAAGAATGAAAAGAAGAAGAAGAAGAATGAAAGAAGAATGAAAAGAAGAAGAG